CAAAAATGTCAAACATTCTGTGTTTTTCTGTCAATATGAGGTGCTGTGTGTACATTAATGAGGAAAAAAATGAACTTAAATGATTTTAGCATATGGCTGCAATATAACAAAGAGTGAAAAATTTAAGGGGGTCTGAATACTTTCCGTACCCACTGTATATATAATCCTCTGTTCATTATAGGCATTGTAGTTCTGGCAAGAAAAACATTATGGGGCAGTGTTTTTTAGTTAGTTTAAAGAGCCCATGGCATGTTTTCTGACTTACCTACAGTGTTAAAATGGTGAATTGTAATTTTAGACGTGATCTAAAGCTCAAAAAATGAGGTGTACGTATGTTCTAGTATTGTTATGCAGAAGCAACTTGGTTTATGCGTGTTTTGCAGACTCTCGCTTGCAAGACCTTTTTTTTTTTTTTCTAACAAAATTAAGTATTATGTGATATTTTAAGGATTTCCTTGAATGGTCATAATTGCCAAGCCAAATATGCGTTCATGTGGGCTTGCCTGACATCCAACAGTGCCCCCACCATATTGGCAAAATGTTATATTGGCTTGTTTATGTGTATTTTCAATAAAACCATTGTAAAAGCGTAATTTATTGACTGCACCCAGTTTTGTGGATATATTTTACCTCCTGCCGCCTGCACTGTGACCAGAGGATGTGGAGGTTACTGCATGTGCTGGAATAGTCGTATACAGGGACTCGATGTTTTACCTGTCCTGGCCTCTTTCACATGGACATGCTCATAACCAGATAAGAATAGGAAAACCCAGAGCTCATAACCAGCTTCGTGGTACCATTATCGCGGACACTCAACATTAGGCTTAGTGAAGCCAGAAAACCCCAAGAGAGTCAGGATAAGCTGAACTCCCTTTGTGGTACAGGCCTTAAATTCTTGTTAAATTTCATTTTACCTACATGATACAAAACATACTCCTGTAAACCATAAACATGTATGTTTTTTTTTTAAACTATCAACTCATCAAGATAATTATGTTTTGCTGTTGATGTTTCCAGACAGATGTAAACAGGGCAGTGAAAGCAGCACATAATGCCTTCAGATTGGGGTCACCGTGGCGACGGATGGATGCCTCTCATCGTGGCCTGCTACTCAGCCGACTGGCTGATGCCATTGAGAGGGATGCTGCCTATCTCGCTGTGAGTCATTATTAAATATCAAAATGCCATCAAACAGCCTTTGGGAAAACGGGTTGCTTTAATTTGCGATTGTGGCAAGGCAAAAAAGAACGTGCACATCCAACCCAAGCGGAGTACAGGCGCAGGACAAAAATATCTGATGGAGGAGAAGAAGAAGAGAACAAGCAAGATCTCAAAGAACAGATTTATTGCATACTCATGCAATGTAGTGTTTTAACTGACATGGTCTTCATTGGGCAAGTAATCATGTAGACACAAACAGGCTATATATGGGAAATTACAATCACATTAAGGGGTCACATGGTATAAAACTACTTAAATTTATACTACATTGTTATAACTCTTTTGATCGGTTTACTCAGTCACAAAGAAAAGAAATACAAAGCATCAAAATAATGTGTTTATTAAACAATGATATAGCCGTCCCTGGTAGGCTAGTGGTTAAGGCGCAGTGCTCTTGCCGCTGCGGCCCTGGTTCAAATCAGGGTTGCATCAGGAAGGGCATCCGGCGTAAAACACATGCCAAATGTCAACATGCGAGTCGTCAGTGTGACGATTCGCTGTGGCGACCCCTAAACGGGAAAAGCCAAAAAGACCTTCTCTACAGATACAAGCGATTTACAGACGACAGACATTGAGGTCAGTGTTCTTGCATCCATCAATAAGAAACTCGATTTACTGGTTACACTTCACGAGGAAATAAAATAACTCCGGTCAAGCCTTGAATTTGCCCACAACTACATTGAAAAGTTAGAGCTAAACCCTACTCTCCTGAAGTCTCACCCTTGTTATTATGGGTAACAGTAATTAGAGGGAAAATAATATCATACTCATCATACAAAAAGAAAAAACAACTAGAACTAGAAACACCTTAGAACAAAGGATAAAACAACTCACAGATTTACATTCCCTGGACAAACACAAAATGAATTAAGCGAACTAAAAATGCAACTTGAAAATATTATATATAAAAAAGCGCAGTTTCTCATTCAACAACTCAAACATGAACACTTTCAGTATGGCAACAAAACAGGTAATTATCTGGCTAATCAATTACAACGCAAAAAGAAAAAAGCATCAGTCCCATCCATACTCAGTGCTAGAGGTGAAATTGTTCATAATCCACAAGATATTAATAATGTATTCCAAACCTTTTACAGTAAACTTTACTCCCCCAATTACAACCCAAATTCATCAGAAATAGACCCCTTTTTAGATAGTTTAGAACTGCCAACATTACCCAGAGAACAAGCTGACAGATTAGATGCTCCTCTCACCATCGATGAACTCCATACATCTCCGATTTCATTGCCAAATAACACAGCACCCGGACCTGATGGACTACCAGCTGAATTTTATAAACATTTTTGGCAAATGCTATCACCACTGTTTCTCAGAGTCACCACAGAAATTAAAGACACCTCCACACACATGAACACAGCCATCATGACACTCTTATTAAAACCAAAGACCCAATCCACCCTTCTAGTTACCATCCCTTAT